ATCACTCCATTCTGGCCTGAGCCATTGGGTTGATGACACGTCAGGGCTTTGTCTGGCACTGTATATATTCTTCTGCTTCACGGGGACGGGGTCTTTTGCCTCTCTACAACCTCAAGTGTAAGTGCTCCAATAAAGTGTGTTCTGAGAAGAATCCTGTTGCGGTTGTCTCTTCTGCTGGCGGGAGCAGCGTGCCACACACTCATATTCCCAAATATTGTTTATACTTGTTTATATTTAAAGGGGGATATGCTATAGTGATAAGTAATTAGCTTTAGTATGGATCTTGGTTTATTGATACAAATTTAAGAGCGATTGACTGCTGACAAACACTACAATGGCAGGGTGAAGAGGAGAGCAGATAGGAGAAGCCAGAGGTGTGGGTGCAAGATCAGTGCACCTCTTTGATGCTTTGGTTCATCAGATAGTAGAGTTGAGGTTGGTGGCACACTCCTCCCAGCACTCCGGAGGCAGAGGGAGGCAGAGTTCAAGGCCAGCCTGGTCTATAGAGTGAGTTCCAGCACAGCCAGAGCTGTTACACAGAGAAACCCTGTATTGGAAAATCTACCATCAACAAAAAAACCAAAAAGCAAAGGTGGACACTGGAGAATTAAAGACAAAGAAGCACGTGAATCTATCTTAGATGCTCAGCTCAGTAGGGGCTGTAAGATTCTTGGGCCAAAGCAAAAGAGGAATCCAGGAAACTACTGTTAGTGCTTCCCTGCAGACGCTTGCATGCATATACGCACATATGCACGCATACAGGCACGCACCCACACACGCACACAGGCACATACCAAAGTGAGAGACTTCCGGAGACTTGAGCTTCTCCAGGATCAGCCTCGTGACGAGCTCGTCCGGGATGCTGTGACCGCTCATCAGCAGCGACTGGAGCTAGAAGAAGCATAGACGCCGTGCGTTACTGCACAGTCTCTGGGACTCACAGCTTCTGGCTCATTGTCGTAACTTGGAAATGTAGATTTGCTCACCATAGTTCCCATTTCAGTCTCGGTGGCAATGTGTTCCTCCAAAACCGATAAAGCTGAAACGCGAGGGCAACATGTGAGTGCAAGCGAATATTCGGACTGCCAAACTTAGAAACATTTTCGGAATGTTTGCTAACCGGCGGCTACATCACTTGAGAATTTATTTGCAAAGCATCTTTATGCATGTTCGATTGGTTAAGGTTGGCCAAAGTAGAAGTGAAGGACTGTTCTGCGGGGAACTTGTCTTGGCCACTCCACCAGGTTAAAATCTGAGTGGACCGGACCGCTGTGCCTTGGATGACTGTGTCCCCCGGGGGGGGGGAGTGGACAGTAGGAGGACGGGATGGGGCGGTGTGCGTGATTGGCCCCATACATGCGGAAGTGCACAGCAGCACTATCAGTCTAGATCCTTTCGGGGACATGCTCTCATTAATGTCTATGCTGATCATACAGAAGGAAAGAACGCATCAGGAAATGTGAAAATGGATAGCCCCGATTCAAAGAGGAACCCTGAGAATTTGAGTAACATGTCATTCTCTGATGGAAGACAATCTGGTGGGAATGGGAGGAGCTTGACTTAGGCGAAGAGTTGAGTTGAATTGTGGCACCAGTCGTTAGGAATTTATAGATGCCTTGATGTTCTTTAAGACTCTCTAAGCTTCTTTATTTAAAACAAAACAAAACAGCAGCAGCAACAACAACAACAACAAAAAACGGGCTGGAGAGGTGCTCAGTGGCTAAGGAGAGGGTCCACATGGAGGATCAGTACCTTCTGTAACTCCAGCTCCGGAGGACCTAAGACCTCTTCTGGCTTCCGTGGACACAAGGAACACATGTGGTAATATTCATATATGAGGAAAAAACACTCATGCACTTAAAACAGGAGTAGATCTTTTTTAAAAAAGAGGAAACTTTCCAAGATCTATGGAGTGTGTCCTGTGTTACTGATTGCTCTCCACACACATATGAAAACTATGGCACCCCAGTTTCACTAGTGATGTACGGGACGCCCATCCTATGACCTCCTTGCCAACTATGATCACAGTTAGGCCAGTGATTTTAATGCTTCACCATCAACTTGTCAGATAAATATGAATCAGTATTAATTTTTAATAATATGAAACTTTTCTTCTATTCCTTGGGTTCAGTTCTACTTTCCTGAGTGTTGTGTGTGTACATGTGTGTGCACTGTGTGTATGCACATGTGCATATGGATGAGTGTGTGTACACATGTGCACAGGTCAGCAGTCGTCCACCTTGGGTTTTGAGACAGGGTCTCACTAGGGTCTGGGCCTCAGCAGTCACTTAGGCTAGTCTGGCTGGCCAGTGAGCTCCAGCCATCCTCCTGTTGCTTCTTGCTCAGCACAGGACTGCGAGTGTTTGCCACATTACCCCCTTTTGTTTACATGGGTGCTGGGCAGTTAACTCAAGTCCCATGCTTGTGTGGCAAGCACACCACTGACTGAACCAACTCCCCAGTCCCTCTGTTTATTTATGGATTTCTTATTCATCCTTTTTTTTTTTTTTAAACTTTTCTATTAGGAAGCGGATAGCTTTACTGGTAAGGAAGGTGTGTGTGTGTGTGTGTGTGTGTGTGTGTGTGTGTACCAACCTGTTTGACATATTTCAAAGAACGTAAGGAAATTTATGAGTAAAAATATACTTTTTCCAGTAGGGTAATAAAGTTCTGGGAAATGCTCTGAAGACCATCTCTAAGAACATGCTCATGCACACATATAAACAATTCCGATGGAAATAAAGGAGGAGGGACGGAGTCAAAGGCGTTTGATGAATACGACTGGAGTGAGGCTATCAGTGGGTTGATAATCAGCAGGTAGAGATGTGTGCGATGGAGGGAACGTGATAAAACATTAATTATGGACTCTCAGATTGGAATTCATTATGCAGTCTATATCGCGAATCTTTGAAATTATTCATACTAAATACAGGGAAAAAATTAAATTTACCTTCAACACGAATACATTTCCAAGCTTGTGCTATATTACGGGCTAATGTTGTCTTCCCAGACCCCTTGGAAAGAGAAATGGTATTAAAACCCAGCACAGCCTTTATTTCACGGTGAAGCAGAGGCACCAATACAGAGAATTCCACTGATGTTTATTGTTACATAATTGCTTATCCTATAAAATAAAGAGGGCCCTATATGTTTAGAGCTTCATTTTCTCCACTACTTCTTACATATCCCACATATGCTGAGCTTATCTAAATACATTATTATTGAAGGAAATTAGGAAGCTATACCTGAATCAGGACAATACATCATCCGGATATTACAAAAAATGTAATTCTAACTATAAATCATCATAAAATATATTGAGATTTGTCATTTTATTTTCTTCATAAAGAAAAGGGAAGTTTTGGTGAATTCCACTGAATAATTTTATTTCCTCTTTTTTTTTTTTCCCCTAAACATATTGTGGCTATGTGAGTGAGAACCTGGCCACTGAACAATATCATCAGCCCTGTCCTTACTTCTGTTTTGAGACGGAGCCTCAGAAAGTTGCCCAGGCTGGTCGTGAACTCACTCTGCAGCCAGAGCAGAGCCTAAGGTTGTGATCCTCCCGCCTCAGCCTCCTCCCGCCTCAGCCTCGTAATCTGCTGTGACTGCAGCTGAAGAGCAGATAAACCTCTTAGCTGACTGTTTGGAGATCATCCTGTTTCAAAGTTACAAGCTCATTCCTGTGAAGTGATACTTGCCTCTGGGTGTTCTCAGGGATGACGTTTAGAACCAGTTTTAGAATCATGGTTTCTACTAAAAATTGTTGGAAATGTTTCTTGGTTACCTGTCCTATGGTTTCTATCCAAAATGAAACCAAAGATGGGCTCTCCTTTGGCCTTGGCTGTTCTGGAAGGTTCTCTAACTGACTAGCCCAGTCCTCTAGCTGCCAATTAGCTCAGTGGCTGAAGGCAGAGCTTACCCTGAGGTCCTTCCTCCAGCTGCCAAGAAGTGAGCAATTTTATAACAGAGCCTTCTGGGTTCTTCCCATTTGTCAGGAAGACAATAGCTGATTCTCTAAAACACTACAGGCCCATTTGCCCTCTGGCTGGAGAAATGATTCTCAGCAACCACGTGGTGGCTCACAACGATGTAATGAGATCTGGTGCCCTCTTGAGGAAGAGACCTGGTAAGTAGTCCTCATCAACTTAGACCATGAAACCCAATAACAGAAGCACCATACATGGGCTGCCATGTGTGCTTCAGCATGGCCAGGGCATACATTTTATCCATTCCATTCCCATTTGCCCTCAGCACCTTTTGGGGTTCATAGACATCCCAGTTCATCTCATATATCTGGAGAGCCTCATGTCTAGTTTTTAAGCAGATCTTATATTCAGATCAAATCTGAAGTAACCTTAGATCACAGAGCAGCAACAATCACCACAGTACAGAGTTTTGTTGTTATAGCCTTATACTATTAAAACCAACATCAATGTAGCCTAGGTTTCTCTTCTAGTGATCAGCATAAGAACTCAAAATCAATATTCTATCAGAGTTGAAGTGATATTATGAAAATCTATCAGGCACTAAAGAAAATATGAACATACTGTGTGATTTCCACTCTTGTAATATAAGACTGAGATTTTAAAATACAAATTACCAAATGTTAGAAGAGATAACTTACTGGTTTTCCAAATATAATAAAGCAAGTAGGTTTGGACAACAAATAGTTTCTCTCAGCTTCATCTTCATTAAAGATATCTGCAAAAGGACATTCTTCTGTCTTCTCTGCCAACGCCATAATAGAAAACACTCCAAAACAGAAGAAGAGCTGAAGGCGTACAGTTGATGGAGCAGGAGGATGGGGAAGAACTCTGTGAAGGTACTTAGCCCTGGAACCATTAAATGTTTGCGAGAGAAACAACATAACCAAAGCTGTTGAAAAGAAAGGTCAACACGTCCAACAATCAAATTGACAAAACATATATACATACACACACATACATGTTGCAATACTTGTTAAATTTCTACAAGGCTGACCTTTAAATCATTTTGGAAAGCTTTTGCTAGTGTGAGCTTTGAAGTAGAGTTCTGGGCAGAGTCTTCCACTTCAAACTTGTTGTCTGTTACAGCACATTTTAATTTATGTAGCTTTTGTTGGAATGAATTAGAAATAAATTGGGTCAGTGAGCTTTTAGATTTGTTTTTGTACAAAGATCTAATGTTCTTTTCAAGCACTTGTAAATTATTTACATATTTGAACCTAAAAAAATCCACACATACAATGAATATATTATATAAGTAATAAAAATAACAATTTTTCTTGACTCCAATGAAATAATTATAAATGTATTTAAAGTCCCAATTCTTGAAAACTAAAAATACAATATACTTCATCACATCAATGTAACCATAAAAATTTAAACAGAAATAATAGAATGTTAAGTTTATGCTATACTAATTAGCACTATTAAATTTTCTCTTTTTTAAAGATTTTTTCATACACTATATTTTGAATGTTTCCCCTACCCCAACTCTTCCCAGATACTTCTCACCTCCTTACTCCTCCAAGTTTGTGTTTCTTTCTTTGTCTATTAATTTATTGTATTTTATGGTCATTGGTATTTTGCCTGCATATATGTCTGTTGGCGGAGGCCACTTGTTCCTGGCTGCCCAGACCATAAAATCATCACTCAAAAGCTATATTATTTGCAATATTGTTCGGCCAATACCTTAAGTGTATTTCTGGCTAACTCTTATATCTTAAATTAACCCATTTCCATTATTTTATATTTTACCATGAGGCTCATGGCCTATTAGCAAGGTTCTGGCTGGAGGCTTGCGTCTTTCTCCTGTGGCAGCTAGCCACATGGCTTCTCACCGACCCTGCCTACTCTTTCTCTTTCTCTCTTTCTCTCTCTCTCTCTCTCTCTCTCTCTCTCTCTCTCTCTCTATATATATATATATACATATATATACATATGTGTGTGTATATATACATATGTGTGTATATACATACACACACATATATCTTCCAGCTTGGCTATATTCTGCTAACCCATTGGCCAAAAGCAGCATTTTTATTAATCAATAAAAGCAACATGTATACAGAAGGACTTCCCACACCAGATGTCTGTGTGAGGGTGTTGGATCACCTGCAACTAATATTACAGACAGTCGAGAACTGCCATGTGGGTGCTGGGAATTGAACTCGAGTCCCTGGAAGAACAGCCAATGCTCTTAACCACTGAGCCATCTCTCCAGCCCCTATTAAAGTAAATTTTAAAAAGACGCATAAGAGAGAATTTAAAGATGTAACTAACCAAAGTAAAATAAAATGTTTGAAATAAATTCTATCCGATCAGTTTCAAAAGGCAAATTTTGGCTGGCTAAATTTTTAAAATGAGGCTCTTTCCACAGGCATTTCTCCAGATGATAGGCCAGTCCTGCAGCCATGTCAGTTACAGCTCTCTTCCCGTACCAGAGTTTTCCTGAGGAAATGGGTGCATTACCCCAGTTACTGCCTAGAAATGACGTGTGCAATGAAGGCAGATTGTGTGGTGGGCAAACACTGTTGAGAGACACACACTCCAGAAGTATTTTTACTGGTGACGCCACAGTCCTTCTTTAAGAGAAACTTTAAGCATCAACTGGAGAAATGTTATCTCTCAAGGACGGCCGGGTGGAGTGCTCCAACTGAGCAAGTGCTGCAGGAGCCCCTGGAGTGATAAGATGGAGGAAGGTGATGGAGTCTAAGCAGGTCTGGAAGAGCAAACACAAGGATCACAAATAGGCAGAATGCAGGTCGGCTTCCCTGGGAGCAGCTGACACAGAGGGAAAGACATCACAGGAGAATCGTGGTCTATCAGTGCAAACTGCAAAAGGAACACTTCCAGCTGTCAGTTCCACTTGTGGGGGGGCTCCGAAAAATAGTCATTGAGGGGAATCTTCCTGCAGGCGGAGTTTTGAGTAGAACTTATAATCCCTCAAGCTGGCGGGCATGAGAGCGGGAATACTGGAGAAGCCGGTGACTGGACTTAGAAATGGTTTGGCAGATACGTTTAAAGCGAGCTCTTCCCATCCCGGCCCCATTCTTGCATGACCCCCTTCCTTTGAATGCAAGTGGGGTGTGTGACTTGCTTCTTATGGTTATCTTCTATCCTGTCTGCTCAGAAGGAAGCTGCTATGCAGTGGGAGGACTCCCTGACAAGGAAGGGTGTCTGCCCTTCAGGAGTGGAGAGCACCAAGTAGCCAACAGCTAAAGAGAACCGGAGCCTCAGTCCTATGACCAGAGACGGATGTTCCTTATAATGGGATGAATTCTTCCTTGGTCGTGTATCCAGCTAAAAGCGCATTTCAGTCAACACCTGCTTGCAGAGGACCTCACTGATCTAGGCCAGAACCCCATGGCCATGGAAATTATGAGATAATAAGGGCATTTTTTTTATGCAGCATGGAAAACTAGTATCAGCAAGGATGAAACGTGTGGACTTTTCCATTCACAAACCATAAATTTGTGAAGAGGGGCTGAACAAACAGGCGAGCAAGATCGTTACGCAGGAGATGCTAGCTGGTCTTTCCTTGGTCCTCTGAGTACTGCAGGTTCCTCAAAGGGAAGGACCGCTTTGGGAAGGCAGGATAAAGTAACAGAGGCTACATCATGATTTAACAAGGCTTCTCCACACATTCACCACAAGAGATGGTCTACAACCCCACGGCTGACATGAGACTAAGGCTTTAACGATGCACTCTCTTGGGGAGCCAGAACTCCCATCACTGGTGGTCTGGTTATACAGGATCTCTTCCCACTGCAAGGGACAAGTGACAGAGGAGAGGCAGATGAGTTTGCCCTCCCCATCCGTAGTCAGTTGAGTTTGTCTCATTTGTCACCACAAATCTCACGTAATATTGTCGCAGATCAAAGGATCCTCTTTACAGCAAAGCGGATATTGTAAGAGGTGCGTAAGTGTGGGATCTGCTGTCTCCACCACATCCCAGCGCACCGAGAAGTAGCCGGTGTATCAGACAGGCATCTCAAAGGTCCAGGTAAGGCACTGTTTAGTATTGTGTGGGACAGAGAGATCAGCGTACTTCAAAAGATGAGGAAGATGCCCTGAGTTAAGTAACGGAAGAAGTGCTCCTGATCCCCATCACTCCGCGACTGATTTGGGCCACTTCTCACAATTTAGGACTCTGGTGGTAGTGGACTGGCTCCGGTTTGTAAGAGAGATGATGGTAGCAGAGATCCCAGTCGTTTCACAGAACGGAAACTGCTGCCACCAACTGGCCATTTTCGGCTCCACAGCCTTGACGGAGTCTGGCAGGTGGAGGGAGGTTTGGGATCATATAGTTGGGGCTGGGAAGGCAATCTTGATCTCTGGGGCATCTCTGACATGCATCTTCATGCTGAGACGCAGGAATGAAAGCTGGCTACCTACAGGACAAACAACTAGACCCGCATTAGTCCTGGCCCTAGAATGAACGGTAAAGCGGGAGATGATGCGTGCTCAGTCTGGACCCAGGGCCGACCTCAGCAGTGAATTCTGCTTCCTTTCTCCAAGTCCCTTTCTCTTAGACATTGAAACTAGTCACTACTTTCTTTTCTTTTCTTTTTTTAGTAAAATCATTTTATTTATTTATTTTTTAAATTTATTTATTTATTTATTAAAGATTTCTGTCTCTTCCCCACCGCCGCCTCCCCTTTCCAGGATCGGTGATGGGACGGTGTGACCACGATGTGGGGAGCGCGGGTGTGAGTGGTTCACAGGGTGGACGGTGTGACCACGATGTTGTCTGCTCATCTGAGCTCAGACAAACAGGAAGTTCCAAGATATCAGTGCTCTGCCATAGCAGGCTTCCACCAGTAATCGCTGGGAGTTCACGAAAAACAAAACAAAACAACAACAACAACAAAAAACCACGCTGCTCCTTTGCCCCCAGAAAGAGAATAGTTCCAAGATATGCACTCCTCATTCCCTAGGAAATTTAGCTAACCAAGAGGTTTGCTTGATAATATTCTTCCTTCCCAGTTCCTTTTCTTCCTTGCCCCTTCTATAAGCAGCTTGGTACTTTTTTTTTAAATTGCCTTTTTCTTTCTGCTTCTAGACGATGCATACTAAGAAAGTCCTAAAAGGGAAGTGCTTAGTTGTAGTATAAAACAATAATCGAAAACAATATTTGAAAATCAGAATTGTTTATTTTTACAAAGTGACTTTCCTAAACCAAATCACTGCAAATGTTTAGCTTACATTAGGAAGGGTTGATTTCCATTATGAAATGAAAAAGTTAAAAGATTCAACTCAAGATGGAGATAACTGGTTCCCTGGGGCTTGTTGGCTGAAGAACACCATCCAGATTGACCTCTGGCTTTTACACAGACACACACACTCTTACACACACACTTTTACACACACACTCTCTTACACACACACTCTTACACACACACTTTTACACACACTCTCACACACACACTTTTACACACACTCTCACACACACACTTTTACACACACTCTTACACACACTTTACACACACACTCTCTTACACACTTTTACACACACACGTACACACACTTTTACACAACTCTCTTACACACACACTTTTACACACACTCTTACACACACTCACACACACACACTTTTACACACACTCTCTTACACACATACACACACTTTTACACACACTCTTACACACACACTTTTACACACACACAATCCCAGAACTGATATTCCTACCTGTTTTCTAGTTTCTCAATAAAAAGATGGATCAAACTATGAAAGGAAACTAATAATAAATACACAAATACTTAAGAAATCCTGTAATGTCCCCATTCGGAATCCACAGCAAGCTCTAGTATCACATTCAGCTATGTGTTTTGCATTTTTAAAATTCTGTTATCCTGTCAGCATGAGACCCCTCTAGCAGTGAAATCCGGGGTATAGAAGGGTGTGGGGGGGAGGACTTAGCACTTCCTCCTTAGGCTAGCTTAGCCACTACTATCTTACACTCTGTAGCAGGTGTTTGGCCTGCATCTGTGAGATAAATAGTCGATGAAAACAGAACCGGTTTTGAAAGTTGATTTATGGATAGATGGGGTCTAGTTTTGAAAGAAAAAAAAACTGGTATGGGGGTCCCCGCAGAAAGTGGACTTCCCTGAAACTGATAACAAAATACACAAAATACATCCAGACAGTGGACAACGGTCCTCCCACCCCTGGGAAAAGGACTGCTTACCTGGCCCCCGTGGACCGACCCGGCAGCAGCTACCTCCAGAGGCTCCAGGTATCTGTTGGGCGGTTGCCCTGGAAACCAGTGAGCGACTTGCAGGGCCCTGGAGGGCGGGGCCTCTGGGGGTGGCGCTGTAATTCGGGTGAATACTTAATGTTTGCTTTTGTGTTCATAATTAGAAAGTACCCTTTCCCTCAAATGTGGAAGGGATGAGCAGAGCGAGTACATATATTGTTTACTTACAGTCCACTTACGTCCAGAACAAAACGGAAGAGTCTTATGTTAAAGCTGAACGGCCCCCACAGCAGGGCGCTCCCCTGCACTGCGCCGTCTCTTTTAGAATTCTCAGACGGTTTAGCCTCACACAGAAAATGTGCAAATACCAACGGCGCCACACAGAAGTGATCAGGAAAGATTCGTGGGCCACATGAACTTTACTGACTCTTACAGGAATAAAATAGGCGACAAAAGAGGGAAAAATCACAGGCATTCAGGAAAGGACCACTTTGAGACAGGTTTCAGGAAAATTCAGAGTAGACAGGAAAAAACAGACCAATTACAACACGGAGAAGCAATTGGAAAGGAGACTCTAGTCACCTGACCTCCTTTCTTTAAGAACCAAGAAAAAGCAGTTTTTTTTTTTTTTGGAGGCTGACCTTAACAAAGATGGCGCCCTTAGCATCCGCCCTCAACAACGGCGCACCCCTATTGTAACCCCGCCACTCGTGTGTGGGCGGGGCTTAATGGGAGGTGTGACTCGGGGAATCCGGAAGCAGCCTGCATTCGCGGCTGCTAAAGCTTTAGCACTCCGGCTTTGCTTTTTCTCTGCGGGTCTGGTGAGCTGGCTCTGCAGAGTCTCCTCCCTCGGTCTCCGGGGACGGTCCGGCCGCTGTCACGACCCGGCCCGCGGCCTGGTGCCCTGTAGTGGGGCCGCCATTGGCTGGAGCCATGCCCACGGCCGCTGCCCCCATCATCAGCTCGGTCCAGAAGCTGGTGCTCTACGAGACCAGAGCTGTGAGTATCTGCCGCGGCGGGACAGATCGGGCGGGAGGACCGCGCTGCCGGCGGTGGGTGAGGGGACGCTGTGGGATCGAAGGGCAGAGGCAGCACCCCGCATCTCCCCCTCCCAACTCCGCAGCTCCGTGGAGCATGGGAGGGAGCTCACCAGCCAGGGCCGTGCAGCCAGACACCGGTGGGTTTGCGTGTCTGTCGTGCTTAGGAGCCTTGGCTGGAAGGTGTTCATGCAAACAGGTGCTTGTGGCACACAGGAATGGCGCACAACTTCCGAATGTGTACTCGATGATTGTTTTCCCCTTTCTCACAGTCTGCTAAAGTCCTCGAGTCCACTCCTCATAGCGAAGTCGTTTTGAGCATTGTCTAGGTAACTTCTAGTTTGCATTCCATGGTATATTGTCACTGCATTTGGCGTTACTCTGCACTGTCTTGCTGAGATTTGGGGTTCTGTGTCATGGACAGTTAGGTTACGAGTTCTCTGGCTTGTAGAGTTGAAAAAGTTGCTAGAGTGTTAGAGTGTGGCTTACCTGAATCAGAACTCCACCATGATATTGGGATCGGTGTGTAAGTTAATTCACCTTCCCGGTCACAAACTGATGAGTATCTATCTCATAAGGTACATGCATTGAAATGCGACCAGTCTTCGAGGACAAGAAAGCATTTATCTTCCCAGCTTCTCACAACTCTAGCCGTGTCTACCTCGTACAATTCCTATGTACAATTACTGGTTCTAAAATAGTTTGGAAAACAAGTCCAGAAACGGAATAAGATTTACAAGTACCTTCACTTCTCTTCAGAGACTCACACAGAAATACCATTTTGACATTGAAACAATTTTTCAATTTTTTTTTTTTTTTTTTTTTTTTTTTTTTTTGTAAAACATGCTGGTCAGGGTTTCTAGTAAGAAATGTAAGTAAATTGGTACATAGGATTTTAGCCCACCGATAATCTGAGCCTTCTAGGGGCCCGGCTCAGATGTTGTGCTCTTTCTAAAGCAGACTGTATTTTTCAGAACTCCTGAGTGGCACCTATGCTGAGGAGGGTACGCTCTGTCCCTAATTTAGCCCCAAGTCAGCGGTCAGCAAACACATGTTTGAGATTCGATTGTGTACACTTTTGTGCCTTGATTGTCGAGTAAAACCGCATCAGCTTGAGTTCCCTATGCCCACCCTGTGTTTTTCTACTTATTTCTGTCTTCACTCCATCTTTTCTTATCAAACCTTTTATGGTCCTGACATACATACTTGCCTTACAGGTACCACGTAGTCACTGGCTGCTAGTCAGGGTTTGGCACAGGAAAGGTAGGTGCATCGGAAGGGTGCTAGGAGCATTGCATGGACGCAATGGCAGACCCAGCTCCCCAGCTCTGGAAAAGCCGGATTGGGAATATTACCCACAAACAGTGCAGGCGCTGGGATGAAGGATGAGTTGAGAGACTCAGGTCTAATTGGACAGCTGCCCCTGTAGACAAATCATGACATAACCCCTTCACTGTGGGACTTCCCCTACAGTGGCAGGTAATATGTGGTAGGCTGCATTAGCTCTGAAGCTTGGTCCTTATCAGTTAAGTAGATCTTTGTTTATTTACTTATTTATTCTTGTGTTAAGACAGAAAGATTGGTTTTGAGTCCTCTGCTTAGAAATGAAGGGACACCACTCAGATAAAACATAAAATTAGTAGCAACTGAGTAAGTGGTAGGAGTGGAAAATTGTAACATAGGCTGTAGTAATGAGATTCACGGGAGACGTTTGCAGAGTGGCCTGTGCTGTCCTGTGGGCTGTGATCATGAGAATCATGGGGACGTTTGCGGAGTGGTCTGTGCTGTCCTGTACGCTGTGATGAGAATCATGGGGACGTTTGCAGAGTGGTCGGTGATGTCCTGTGGGCTGTGATGAGAATCATGGGGACGTTTGCAGAGTGGTCTGCGCTGTCCTGTGGGCTGTGATGAGAATCACGGGTGATGTTTGCGGAGTGGTCTGTGCTGTCCTGTTCTAAGGTCCCGGTGTATTTAGTGTTGCCGAGAGGCCAGTGCCTTACACTGTTACTCTCACTGCTACCGTTGTTTATTTGGGGAAGCAGAGAGTGAGGCAAAGTGAGTTTAGGACAGTACAGTCTGGAACCTTCTGCTGGTAGAAATCTTTCTAACCAGACTGAGGTGTTGAATATTGATATTGAGGTTAAATGGGTAAACCTTTTCATATCACGTTGACAGAGTGCCTCTTTCATCTCGGATGACTGACATTCTGTCATTTTTTTTTTAATGAAGTGGTGTCGGAATCTTAAGCATGAGAGTTAAGAAAGAGGCACTAGGAAGAAGATAAGACTCACTGAAAGCATAGGTGTGGGGCTCTCAAAGAAGACCAAGTGTGGGTCCAGGCCCCTTCAGGGAGAGTTGCCACTGCTATTCTTGATAACTTAAAATTCATTTCACCAAGTCTTCTGCCTGCTGTTCTTCAAGTTTTATGTCTTGAGGCAAAATTGTGTAAATTAAAAAGCACAAATCTAAACTTATGGAATTTGAGCAGAACTATGCATGTGCGTATTCTATAGCCTTAATGTTGACAGAGGTTTCTGTCCTGCCTGGTCCTGCAGCCATTCAGTCCCAAAGAAACACACAGATATCTACATTAATTATAAACTGGTTGGCCTATTAGCTCAGGCTTCTTATTAACTCTTACATTCTATATTAACCCATAATTATTGTTTGTGTTAGCCAGGTGACTTGGTACTTTTTATCACGGAGGCATTCTCATCTTGCTTCCTCTGTGTCTGGGTGATGACTGCAGACTTCATCTTTCCCCTTCCCAGAATTCTGTTCTCCTTGTCCCACCTATACTTCCTGCCTGGCTACTGGCCATTCAGCATTTTATTAAACCAGTACAACTGTCAAATCTTTACGGGGTACAAGATCATTGTCCCACAACACTATTATGACATGAAACACCTCTGCTGCTTGAGAAAGTTCTCTGTGTGCCTAGTTACTTTTCTTTGCCGTGATAAGACACCATGGCAGGGAACTTAGGAAGAAAATGTTTATTTAGGGCTTACCATGTCAGAGGGCTAGAGTTTGTGGTCATCATGGTGGGCACAGGGCAGTAGCTTGGCAGGCCCAGTGCTAGAGCACTAGCTGAGGTCACACGTCTTGAGATGCAACCATGAGACCAAGTGAGAGTCCCTGGGAATGGCATGGGTTTTGCAACAAAACCATGCACCCAGCGACACACATCCTCCAAGGTCATGGCCACACTTTCTAATTCTCTCTACAGAGTTCCACTAACGGGGGACCAGGTATTCAAATATATGGGGGCCATCCTCATTCACACCGCAGTCAACTGTCCATTCCATTTCTGGCAATTAATGTTCGATTTTTAAAAATTCTTTTATTAAAGGGAAGTTTTACTTTAATTTTTATTTATGTCTATGCACGTGTATCTCTCTCTGTGTGTATGCCACATGGATGCAGGTGACTGTGGAGTTCTGAGAAGGGCATCAGAGCTCCTGGATCCGGAGTTCTGAGCTCCCTGATATAGGTGCTGGGAACTAAGTTTGGGTCCACTGGAAGAGCATCAAGTACTCAGCAATCTCACCATTCCTACTATCCTGTATATGCATACACACACACACACACACACACACACACACACTAGATTACATGTGCTTGTTTTAAAATTTCACATAATGGGTATTTGGACATGATAGAGTATATGTCTGTAATCTCAGCACTAAGACAGAGTCAAGAGAATCTCAAGTTCTCGGCCAGCCTGGATAGTATAGTAAGACCTTGCTTGTAATAAACAAAGCAGTTCATATGATGGGATTGTACTACACATTCTGCTAGGTCCAGTGTATTTTGTTCAGCATGTTTTTGCAGTTTATCCATACTTTTGTTATATCAGGAGTTTGCACCTTTTTTTTTTTTTTTGGTAAAGATTTATTTATTTTGTACACAGTGTTCTGCCGGCAAGTCTGCCTGCAGGCCAAAAGAGGGCACCAGATCTCATTACAGAAGGTTGTGAACCACCATGTGGTTGCTGGGAATTGAACTCAAGACC